ACCCTAACTGTCTAAGCAGCGTGGTGGTGAACTGTAGCTGGCGAAGCAATACGATCGGATCCTGTTGAGCCTGGATGCAATCGTCTATGTAGCTTTCGAAGGTGATCCCTTGAAAGTGGAGGAAGCTTATTATGGGCTTGGTAATTCGGGTAAAAAGCCACGGGGCCGTGGAAATTCCAAATGGTAGGACTTTCCATTGGTAGTGATTCCCGTTGAACACGAAGCAAAGGTACTTCCGGTGTTCTGGATGTATCGGAAGGTGAAGATAAGCATCCTGAAGATTTAGGCTGATGAGGACGTCTCCCTTCTTCAGAATGGTGCATAAAAGGTTGATCGACACCATCCTGAAGTGAGGCGGTGGAAGCAGGAATCGGGCATTGTACAACTTCATATTGAAGATGAGGCGGAGTTTGTTGGAATTTTTCTTTGGAAGCAAGAAGATGGGGGAGTAGAATCCTGGAGTGATGGGCGATAGACCTAGGAGCTCTATCGCGAGTTTGTCTAATAGCGTACCTATTGTGGATTGCAGAGTCTGAAGCTGGTCCACAGGATATGAGCGATGAGCCGGATGCCGTGAAGTAGCAGGTTGGTGACGTACGGATCTTTGAGGATGGTCCAAATCGGGGGGAAGATCTGCACTCTCCCGCCTACCGGAGTGTTGTAAATTGGAACGACTGGGGGCGGGAGGTCCCAGTCGTGCGATAGAATCAAGCCGTCACTGCTTCCCGGCGCTGGTCCCTGGGCCAGAGTTGGTCCTGGGGGGGGGCGACAGGAGGAACCACCACGGCCAGATCTGTTTCCTCTGCCACGGCCTTGAGTGGATGTGCCACGAAAAAGATTGCGTAAATCCGAATTGGTAGGGGTGAACTGTGCAGTTCGACGCTGTTTTAATGAGTCCTGAAGCTGTGACTTCTGTATCTTTAACAGTTCAATCGAGACTTGAAAGTGGGTTTCTTTATCAACTTTAGTAGATACTTCTTGGGATGCTACCATTGAAGGGGAGTAAGTAAACCAAGGCTGGCGAAACTGTTCTGTTTTAAATCGCTCCTCCCATGAAGAGATGTTAAGGGGTCCACGTCGGCAAACAGCAAGAGTGTAGCCCCAAAAATGAGACAACTGATCCACGATATATTCTTATATATTCATAATAACATGTATTCTATGAGCCATGTCATCTGTATCTATTGACCACCACATGTATTGCGTCGTCATAGCATTGTGACGTCATAAGCATTGTGACGTCACGGCCAGAGTTAACAGTTACTGTTCAGTTTACCTGATGATGGGGCCAGAACAAGCCCTGAAACGTTGTACTCGAGAATAAAAAGAAGATGTAACCCAGAAAAAAATCTCTATGTTCATGATCCAGGATAATTTGGAACTGGTCCAGAGCTAAAGTCATGAATCCTCGGATGTAAGCGTCTTGATCAGAGTAAGTATGCTCCAGAGCAGTGTTAACAGTGTCGACTGCTGCAATCATGCAACTAACAGATGGCAATGTCTTTCTCATGGCTGAATCCATGTGAGCCAACTCTCGGTCCTCAATAAGGTAGGGCGAAGCAGCTCGTTTGCCACACAGGATTCCAATATCCTCATCAACTGTTGGAGCTGTAGAAATTTTTGTTAGGCCGTGGACATGAGAGGTAGAAGGATTATATCTGGGAGCAGAGAATCCGTCCTTAATTCGTTTCAGGCTCTTGAAACCATCATTTAGTGTACTGGATAATTTCAGAATAGAAGGTCGAGGTGGTAGGGTGATGGTAGACCAATCCCGGAGTATAAGAGTGATCCAGGTCATCTGCTGAAGTACTAAAGGGAAGTTGGAGCTTCTTAACAATCCAAAGGAGTACCTGAGGTGTCTCAACTGCTGCAAAGCTACCCCCAGGTGTAGATAACTCAGAGTGAGCGGGAGTTGCAGGCATGGCTATTTGAACTGGATCAATCTCAGGAGGTGGGCCAGATGAAGAGCCAGGAGCTACCGAAGCCGGATGGGCTGGAGTAGAAGGCTGTATTTGGTTCCAGGCTAAGGTTATGGCCCTGATCATCATATTTAGATCCGGAGTCGCTGTAAGAGTGGGATTGTTATCAGGTTCCCATGACTCAGCGATGATCCTAGAGTGAGTCGAAGGATTCTCAGAGCGTGTAGACGGAACATCATAAGAGACTGTAGGCCTATTAGTGGTATCAGAGCAATGATCACCCAAACGTCATTCAGAGGAACTGTATCGAGATCTCGACGTGGTAAGTACCGAAGTAGGTTGGTAAGCCGGTGATCTGGATTCCCTAGTATGGCTAGGTGATCCGGTATGATATGAAAAACTAGTCCGGGTCAATGTAGTTCTAGTTGGTGATCTGGTTCTGATTGGAGCTCTGGTTCGACCATCTGAATAGGATCGGCCATGAGATGTGGATCTGTACTTTGATCCCGACTGGTCAATGGCTCTGTAAGGTGATCTAGATCGTATAGGTGACCTGGGTTGGTGAGATGATCTGGATTTATAAAGTGATCTGGATCAATTCGATGCACTAACTGGAAACTGTGATTGTGATCTGGATCTATAAGGTGATCTGGAACTATAGGGTGATCTGGTTTGCAGTTGTGATCTGGCTTGATTTGGTGATCTGGATCGGTCTGGCGATCTACTTCAATGTTGTGATCTGGATCGGTTAGGTGACCTAGATCGGTCCGGTGATCTGATTCGAGGTTGTGATCTGGATCCATTCGGTGATCTGGATCGGTCCGGTGATCTGATTCGAAGTTGTGATCTGGATCGGTTAGGTGATCTGGATCGATTAGGTGATCTGGATCGGTCCGATGATCTACTTCGATGTTGTGATCTGGATCGATCCGGTGATCTTGATCGGCTAGGTGATCTAGATTGGGCTTGTGATGGTGATCTGGATCGTGAAGGTGATCTAGATCATTGTGGTGATCTAGAATGATGTGGCGATCTGGATTGGCGATTAGGTGACGAAACCTGAAGTGTTGATTCATGATGAACGTCCCACGGCGGCGCTGCTATAGCCAGCTCCGTCCGGTTCAATGAACTGTGGGGAGACAGTTGGCTGGTTGAACACGGTTGGCCAGGCTCCAAACAAACTGAGACAGTCGAGGGGATATGTACCGATGATCTGGATGATGATAGTGTCGATCTAAGGTCCCCTGGTAGTGTAGATGGGACAGGCAACGATGAATTATCGATCACAACCACCCGCGAGTGATCTGACACTATGGAAGCAGGTTATTGATGTGTATGTAATAGGTGCCAAACGTCCTCAGATAAGTAAGAATCTGATGAAGCGTCCATAAAATCCTCTTGAACCACAGATGTTGCTCTCTTGCGTGAAGGTACGATTTTCTGTTGCTGTAACTTGATACGCTTGGCGGGAGTGGGATCAGAATCTGTTGATTTCCTGTCCCTATCAGCGATTCTCCAGGAGCACACACGAAGGTAGGCCTTAAAATCCTCATCTTTTAGTGAAATACACTTGCAACATAGTTTGTTCCAGTTACATTGTCCAATACAGTCACTGCAAGACGAGTGAGGGTCGAGGGACGAATAATTCGTCTTGCATTGAGCACAAACATTCCTTTTCCTTGACTGATTATCAGTTTTCCCCATGATGTTAGGGTGAAATAATGTGCCTAATATACAGCACGTCCACACAGTCGTGCGACAAGAAAGAGAATGATCATTCAAGGTAGTCACGTGGGCAATTAGTGGAGCATGCTGCAAGCTTTATTTGGGACTAGGAAGCTAATTAAGGAGAGCAGCATGGAGTGCACGGGCGAATGGACAAGGAGGCCTATGGAAAAAAGTTTACAGTTGTTCCACTAAAAGTCGAAGCAAGAGAGAGAGGTGCAAGTCATGAGATAGGATAAGTTTAAAAATTGAGACATTGCAACTCCAGAAATACCTACCCATGATTTTTGAAAATGTTGAAAGACGAAAAAATACAGTAATAAATTTGGGTCTAGATTTAGTGACTTAAGAATTATGAAAATTAAAACATAAAATATATACAAAACTTCCTTATGATATAGCACCTAAATGTGTGGTTTACCAGTGGTTGCCAATGAAATATTGTTTAATATGCATCTGTTCGGGGGTTTGGTGTAAAACCCCAAATATATCCCACAAGTAATAATTTTGTAAAGATATGAAAAGGTGACATGACTACGGGAGAAACATGAAATATGAATAAATATTTCGTTCATGTAGTATGTGTTGTTAAATACTTATTCACAGTATGTTAATTATTTAACCCTGTTTCGTTGCATAAGCTGCATTTCTTAATTTCCATTGATTATTATTTCACTAGCTCCACCTGTCGTAGACAGCTGATGATTATGCTCTCAATTATCATACAAGTTTCTGTAGATGATTTGGAATAGTCCTGCATTTTCTGTGCAATAATTTCCAAGTATGAAGATCAAGTGAGTGTAATTTTCTGTACATTATGGAAGAAATTCTCCAGATATTTGAGTGGAGAAGTCTCTGTGATGATTCTCCACAAACCCTGAATTGAGAAACTGTCCATCTGAGCTAGCCAGTCCGAGTTGTAGGCATCTGTGTACAGGTGATGTTACGGTGCTGGGAATACAAGCTAAATGACACATATGTAGTCACTGCATGTCAACCAGCTGAGTGGATCCTGGAGCATTTGGAGGGAAATGTACTGATTTCATATGGGTGTATGTATGCAATGTTTTTCATAAAGTTTATAAATTGCATCACATTAAAGTTTTCTATTATGTTTCACAAAACACAGAAACTTTCTGGTAAGTATAAATAACAGGAGCAGAACCATATCTGCTTGGGCAATAGGTTGATGAACACATTTCTACAACCATGCAGTAAAGGTCCTCATGAATAATAACTATGCATTATGCGGATGACTGTCATTTTGTCAAAATCACATCAAATTTTTGTCAGCACTCTTGTCAAGGCCTCTGAAGAATGATTGGGATCTGCTATATAACATATAATTCAACTTACTCTCCACCATTCCACAGCTATGATCGGACTTGGAATGGCCATGAATCGTTTCCTATGCCGGAACCTTCGTCCTGCAGAGCCTGCAAGACAGATTGAGGATCTCAATAAAAGCCTCCTGCAAGACATTTTCAACATCGACCTAAACTAGAAACATATATTTTATGCATACCACACCATCACCAAATATACTTCTGTGAGACATGTACATCCTCTTTCTGGATAAGATCTGTTTGTACCAGACACTGACCCCTTCTATCTGTACTAGACACTGACACCGTCTATCTGTACCAGACACTGACCCCTTCTATCTGTACCAGACACTGACACCTTCCATCTGTACCAGACACTGATACTGTCTATCTGTACCAGACAATGACCCCTTCTATCTGTACCAGACACTGACCCTTCTATCTGTACCAGACACTGACACCGTCTATCTGTACCAGACACTGATCTCTTCTGTCTGTACAAGACACTGGCCCCTTCTATCTGTACTAGACACTGATCCCTTCTATCTGTACTAGACACTGACACCTTGTATCTATACTAGACACTAATGCCTTCAATCTGTACTAGACACTGACACCGTCTATCTGAACTAGACACTGATCCCATCTATCTGCACTAGACACTGATCCCTTCTATCTGTACCAGACACTGAACCCTTCTATCTGTACCAGAGACTGATCCCTTCTATCTGTACTAGACACTGATCCCTTCTATCTGTACCAGACACTGACCCAATCTATCTGTACCAGACACTGATCCCTTCTATCTGTACCAGACACTGACCCTTCTATCTGTACTAGACACTGACATCGTCTATCTGTACCAGACACAGACACTGACCCCATCTATCTGTACCAGACACTGCTCCCTTCTATCTGTACTAGACACTGATCCCTTCTATCTGTACTACACACTGACACTATCTGTACCAGACACTGATCCCTTCTATCTGTACCAGACACTGACCCCTTCTATCTGTACCAGACACTGACATCGTCTATCTGAACTAGACACTGATCCCATCTATCTGCACTAGACACTGATCCCTTCTATCTGTACCAGACACTGAACCCTTCTATCTGTACCAGAGACTGATCCTATCTATCTGTACTAGACACTGATCCCTTCTATCTGTACCAGACACTGACCCAATCTATCTGTACCAGACACTGATCCCTTCTATCTGTACCAGACACTGACCCTTCTATCTGTACTAGACACTGACATCATCTATCTGTACCAGACACAGACACTGACCCCATCTATCTGTACCAGACACTGCTCCCTTCTATCTGTACTAGACACTGATCCCTTCTATCTGTACTACACACTGACACTGTCTATCTGTACAAGACACTGATCCCTTCTATCTGTACCAGACACTGACCCCTTCTATCTGTACCAGACACTGACATCGTCTATCTGTACTAGACACAGACACTGACCCCATCTATCTGTACCAGACACTGCTCCCTTCTATCTGTACTAGACACTGATCCCTTCTATCTGTACTACACACTGACACTGTCTATCTGTACCAGACACTGATCCCTTCTATCTGTACCAGACACTGATCCCTTCTATCTGTACCAGACACTGATCCCTTCTATCTGTACCAGACACTGACACTGTCTATCTGTACCTGACACTGATCCCTTCTATCTGTACCAGACACTCACCCCTTCTATCTGTACCAGACACTGATCCCTTCTATCTGTACCAGACACTGATCCCTTCTATCTGTACCATGATCCCTTCTATCTGTACCAGACACTGACCCCATTTATCTGTACCAGACACTGCTCCCTTCTATCTGTACTAGACACTGATCCCTTCTATCTGTACTACACACTGACACTGTCTATCTGTACCAGACACTGATTCCTTCTATTTGTACTAGACACTGACACCGTCTATCTGTGCCTGACACTGATCCCTTCTATTTGTACCAGACACTGACACCGTCTATCAGTACCAGACACTGATCCCTTCTATCTGTACCAGAGACTGACACCATCTATCTGTACCAGACACTGCTCACTTCTATCTGTACCAGACACTGATCCCTTCTATCTGTACTAGACACTGACACCCTCTATCTGTACCAGACACTGCACCCTTCTATCTGTACTAGACACTGATCCCTTCTATCTGTACCAGACACTGATCCCTTCTATCTGTACCAGACACTGACCCCTTTGATCTGTACCAGACACTGACCCCATCTATCTGTACCAGACACTGACACCGTCTATCTGTACAAGACACTGATCCTTCTATTTGTACCAGACACTGACACCGTCTATCAGTACCAGACACTGATCCCTTCCATCTGTACCAGAGACTGACACCATCTATCTGTACCAGACACTGACACCGTCTATCTGTACAAGACACTGACCCCTTCTATCTGTACCATGATCCCTTCTATCTGTACCAGACACTGACCAATTCTATCTGCACTAGACACTGACACCGTCTATCTGTACTAGACGCTGATCCCATATATCTGTACCAGACACTGACCCCTTTTATCTGTACTAGACACTGAACCCATCTATCTGTACCAAACGTTGACACCGTCTATCTGTAACAGACACTGACCCCGTCTATCTGTACTAGACACTGACACCGTCTATCTGTACTAGACCCTGATCCCGTCTATCTGTAACAGACACTGACAGTGTCTATCTGTACCAGACACTGATCTCTTCTGTCTGTACCAGACACTGATCCCTTCTATCTGTACCAGACACTGATCCCTTGTATCTGTACCAGACACTGATACCTTGTATCTATAACAGACACTAATGCCTTCTATCTGTACTAGACACTGACACTGTCTATCTGAACTAGACACTGATCCCATCTATCTGTACTAGACACTGATCCCTTCTATCTGTACCAGATACTGATCCCTTCTATCTGTACTAGAGACTGATCCCATTTATCTGTACTAGACACTGATCCCTTCTATCTGTACCAGACACTGACCCCTTTGATATGTACCAGACACTGACCCCATTTATCTGTACTAGACACTGACACCTTCTATCTGTACCAGACACTGATCCCTCCTATTTGTACCAGACACTGACAGCGTCTATCAGTACCAGACACTGATCCCTTCTATCTGTACCAGAGACTGACACCATCTATCTGTACCAGACACTGACACCGTCTATATGTACAAGACACTGACCCCTTCTATCTGTACCATGATCCCTTCTCTCTGTACCGGACACTGACCAATTCTATCTGTACTAGACACTGACACCATCTATCAACCAGACGCTGATCCCATATATCTGTACCAGACACTGACCCCTTTTATCTGTACTAGACACTGACAGCGTCTATCTGTACCAGACACTGATCTCTTCTGTCTGTACTAGACACTGGCCCCTTCTATCTGTACCAGACACTGATCCCTTCTATCTGTACTAGACACTGACACCTTGTACCTATACCAGAAACTAATGCCTTCTATCTGTACTAGACACTGACACCGTCTATCTGAACTAGACACTGATCCCATCTATCTGCACTAGACACTGATCCCTTCTATCTGTACCAGACACTGACACCGTCTATCTGTACCAGAGACTGATCCTATCTATCTGTACTAGACACTGATTCCTTCTATCTGTACCAGACACTGACCCAATCTATCTGTACCAGACACTGACCCCTTTTATCTGTACCAGACACTGACCCTTCTATCTGTACTAGACACTGACACCGTCTATCTGTACTAGACACTGACACCATCTATCTGTACCAGACACTGCTCCCTTCTATCTGTACTAGACACTGATCCCTTCTATCTGTGCCAGACACTGACACTGTCTATCTGTACCAGACACTGATCCCTTCTATCTGTACCAGACACTGACCCCTTCTATCTGTACCAGACACTGCTCACTTCTCTCTGTACCAGACACTGATCCCTTCTATCTGTACTAGACACTGACACCCTCTATCTGTACCAGACACTGCACCCTTCTATCTGTACTAGACACTGATCCCTTCTATCTGTACCAGACACTGACCCCCTATATCTGTACCAGACACTGACAGCCTCTATCTGTACCAGACACTGACACCTTCTATCTGTACTAGACACTGATACCTCCTATCTGTAGCAGACACTGACACCTTCTATCTGTACCAGACACTCTCTCCATCTGTCTGTACCAGACACTGGCCCTTCTGTCTGCACCAGACACTGACACTGTCTATCTATACCAGACACTGACACTGTCCATCTGTACCAGACACTGACACCATCTGCCTGTACTAGACACTGACACCTTCTATCTGTACCAGACACTGACACCTTCTATCTGTACCAGACACTGACACCGTCTATCTGTACTAGACACTGACACCTTCTATCTGTACCAGGACCCTTTCTATTTGTACCAGACACTGACTCCATCTATCTATACCAGACACTGACACCGTCTATCTGTACTAGACACTGACACCGTCTATCTGTACCAGACACTGACCCCTTCTATCTATACCAGACACTGACACCTTCTATCTGTACCAGACACTGACTCCATCTATCTATACCAGACACTGACACCTTCTATCTATACTAGACACTGACACCGTCTATCTGCACTAGACACTGATCCCATCTATCTATACCAGACACTGACACCTTCTATCTGTATCAGACACTGACACCTTCTTTCTGTACCAGACACGACACCGTCTATCTATACCAGACACTGATAACTTCTATATGTACCAGACACTGACACCTTCTATCTGTACCAGACACTGACACCTTCTATCGGTACCAGACACTGACACCTTCTATCTGTACCAGACACTGACACCTTCTATCTGTACCAGACACTGACACCTTCTATCTGTACCAGACACTGATCCCATCTATCTGTACCAGACACTGACACCTTCTATCTGTACCAGACACTGACACCTTCTATCTGTACCAGTTCGTACCTAGCATTCCTCCACAAATTGCCATGTACATGGCCACAGGACGGAACCCGCAGTGCTGTGGACATCATCAGTGGCCAACTGGACGTTACACACCACTTTTTGTCATGTCCTTCTATATGTCACTTCTGTCAATGGACTACTTCCGGCGAACTCTACCAGACACGTATCTCATCCCTCTGTCACTCACATTAAGTTCATCATCCATAACTGCTAGGCGTGACCAATGAACTAGCATTCATATATATATATATGTGTGTCATTGTGATAACTACTGTCTATTCAGGTTCTCTGCTCACCAAAGTATGTACTTACTGTTACTGTGTGGCAAGTCCACATAATCAATTTCCTTCCTGAGAGTTTCATATGTGGTAATGACTATATCAAAATCAGCCAGTGTTTGTGGCTGAAGGAAGCCTTGCTTGCTCACTCCTGTGTAAACCTGCAACAATGAATGTCACACCTTCGAATGGTCTCATCTCATAAACAATCTCTTTTCTATTCTCTACATGGTTACAATGTGGACGCACATTTTTGGATTTCCCTAAAGTGATATTGCTGAAACATTGCGCAAAAACATACTCGCTTTCAAGTGGTAACTGAGGAAAGGGACAACTTGTGACTTCTTTGACTACTGCAATACCATTGTGGATTGTAAAACCTTTCATTTACAAAAATGAAAATACCAGATACTAGACAAAATCTTAAGTCACCCACCCATAGGAAAACTATTCTGATTGTATTTGACTTGTATCAAATCTAGTATATGCATGAGTGAGTGAGTGTGTTTAGTTTTACGCCGCACTCAGCAATATTCCAGCTATATGGCGGCGGTCTGTAAATAATCAAGTCTGGACCAGATAATCCAGCGATCAACAGCATGAGCATCGAGCTACGCAATTGGGAACCGATGACATGTGTTAACCAAGTCAGCGAGTCGGACCACCCGATCCCGTTAGTTGCCTCTTAAGACAGCATGGGTTACTGAAGATCAATACTCTAACCCGGATCTTCACGGGTCTACATGCATGAAAACATAGCCATAACAGCATGGTATACCAACAATTTTCCACATAATCTTTAACTGTCTAAAGTGTATATACTGCTGTATGAGATACTGTTGACTTAATGGAATATGTCATTATATAGGGTGCCTCGGGACAATTTCATGAGATCAAATCACAACAAGCACTTCTCCTCTTTGTTATTCAAGGACCTATCAACTAAAGCATGTGTCATTTTGATCAAATTGATTTATTCAGCTCTCAACATTTGTTTTTCCAAGCATTGTACAACTTGAACAAAAATGTAATTTTCTCACTAAAATTGATATTTTATACTTATCCTGACTCATGCTTAATTGCTTGTCTTCTTCTTCTTGTGAACTATAGTGGAACACTTGAATCCCCTTTTGAAGCGCCCTTCAAAAAAGTGGACGTAAAATCACTCACCCCAGTTGCCTCCCTTGAAACCATCTTTTGGCGCGAAAAGGTCACATGATCGGCCATGCTTGTTCACTCTCTCCATTATTTCGAGCCCTGACACTTGGATTTGCAGGGAAATCCAGAGTGCCATGAGGGGAGGTTGGGAGGGCTAACCTCATGAGTCAGGATAAGTATAAAATATCAATTTTAGTCAGAAAATTACATATTTTTTCTTATCCTGACTCATGCTTAATTGCTTGTAGAATCCGATGGAAATGGTGGTGGGTCAAGCCACTCTGGATTCTCTGCTGATTTATGTCCTTATACCCCCTTGGGAACTTCTAATGGCATTTGTCCTTTCTTCCAGCTTCCTCTGATGAATGTGGGGGACCACAGCTTGTCAGATTTATCCTGGAAATCTTCTCCTGACATTTTGTGTGGATTTTATACGACTCCATCTCTTGATGCATGCATCAAGTGGAGAAGTGACCCTACTTCGTGTACAAGTAAGTCCTTACAAGTACCGGGTCTATCACTCATGCTAGCCTGTCCTAGACGTGCACATGGAGTCTAACACCATACTCTGTTGAGTGTTGGCTTTTACAAGTCACGTGACAAAAGGGTGAGATTTATCTCAGCGCCTTTAAGGTACCGTCAATTGTTGTGCTACAACAAGCGGCCCAAACTGGTGTATGCCAGAGACGTCCTCTGTAGTCATGTCTCTGAGGTAGTGGTTGGCAAACACCGTCTCCGATCTCCAGAAACAGCCCTCCATTATTATTGATATGGAGCAGTTTCCATGCAGAGCTAGCGTGGATGCCAGTGCTCTGACTTCATGAGGATTAGAGGCTCGTGGAGGATCAAGTCCTGCTGCTTTATAGGCTCTCAATATGACGGCTCTCATCCATATTGATATGGTTGTACGCGAGACTTCTGTAGGTGTCTCCGTAGATAGAGGGATGAAAAGGCGCTTGAATTTTCGTCTCCTAAATTTAGACCTCTGTAGATATATTTTCAATGCTCTGACTGGCCATAAGGATCGGTCTTGCGTATCCTGTGGTCCTAATATCGACGAAAGTGCTGGGATATGGAATTGTCTGTCTGGTTGACCGGACAGTTGATTCTTTGCTATAAAATCCCATCTTAGTCCCAGATGCACTGTGTCAAGATGCGTGTCAAATCTTGTTCGTTCGAAGTCTAGAGCATGAATTTCTGACATCCTTGCCGCTGTAGCTAAGGCTACGAGGAACAGTGTTTTATGAGTTAATTTTTTCATATGATATCCTTTCTAGTGGTTCGTAATCTTCGCTGGTAAGATGTTGTAGAACCACGTTGAGATCCCAAGCGGGCGCCTTGAATTTTCTTTGTTGGTCTTCCAACTTGAATGAGCGTAGTAGTGCCAGTATCTCTGGTACTTTTGTCAGTTTTATACCCGTCTTCATTGTGAAAACTGAGCTCAAGGCCGCTAGGTATGTAGAGAGTGTAGATCCGTTCAATCGTTTTGTCTGTCTAAGATGACAAAGGTATTCCGCCACTTGAGGATGTGTTGCTTCTATTGCAGTGAAGCCTTTATTCCGCGAGCGTATTTCTCAAAACTTTGTCACTTGTCATCATACAAGTTACGGGTTGATCTGCGTAAGGCTAAAGTTTCTGCTTTGGCCGCTCTGGTGGAATATCCTCTTTTCCTCAAGCAAGTCGTGATACGCTCCATGTGTGTAGTTGAAACATAGTTGGGTTTCTGTGTGCTTGCTTGGTGTGTGGATGAATCAGTAGATTTGGCCACTTTGGAAGTTGTAGGATTGGATTTCCTATATCTTGTATGAGGTTGGGGAACCACTCTGGCCAGTAAGGCACGACCAAAATCAGTTGTAACTTGTTCGTCATTTTGATTTTCTGTAATACCTTCAGTATTAGTGCCGGTGGAGGGAACGCGTACGCATTTAGTCCTTCTCACGATATGCTCAAGGCGTCCGTTGCCCATGCTTGAGGATCTGGGACCGGAGAGACGAATGTTGGTAGTTGTTTGTTGAACTTGGTTGCGAACAAATCTACCAGTGGGGATCCTATTGTCCGAATGATGTCCTTGAATGCCTCTGGGTGTAGCATCCATTCCATCGGTGACGGATTCATAGGACAGGATAGGGCGTCTGCTATCACATTTCTGGCTCCGGGAATGAGTGACGCTTTTATGTCGATGTTCAGGTTGTCTACTATGCTGAATAGTTGAAAGCTGAGGTCCAACATGCTTCTTGACCTTGTTGACCCTTGTTTGTTGATGTAGAACGCCACTGTGGAGTTGTCCGTATGGATCATCAGTTGAGCGTTCCTTAGTATGCTGGACCAGTGTAGTAAGGCGTTTATGACTGCTTTCAACTCTAGCATGTTGATGTATAGCTTCTGCTCCTGATTCGACCACTTTCCCGATGCCACTTTGTTGTTTAAGTGAGCTCCCCATCCTTGGTGGGACGCATCTGCGTAGAGATGTGTGTTGGATCCCGGCTCTGCTAAGTAGGTTCCTGCGCAGACATTCGACTTCTGTGTCCACCATAATAGGTATGGTTTCAGCTCGTTCGGTAGGACGAATGGATCCAGACTGTCTAGATGATCGTTGACAAACACTTGTAGTGGGCGCAACAGTAATCTGCCTCTGCGTGTCATATCTTGTGCTGATGTGAGGAGACCAATAGACTCTGCCACTCTCGTAGTGGTAACCGAGAGAGTAGTGTTTGCGATTTCATCTGTTGTATCTTGATCCAACGGTCCTCCCGGGACTGATTTACTAACCATCCTAGTTGAGTGAGTAGCTTAATCGTCAGTTGCCGTCTGAGTAGATTGAGATCTTGATGAGCTTGAATCCCGTCGTCGAGGTAAAACGCACTGCATAGACCTTGATGATGTAGGTAACTGACGATGGGCTTTGTCACTCGAGTAAACAACCAGGGGGCCGACGATATTCCAAACGGTAGTACCCTCCACTGGTAGTGACGTCCGTTGAACAGGAATCGTAGGTACTTCCTTGAGTCCTGATGTATTGGGATGTGAAGATACGCATCCTGTAGATCTATGCTGGCTAGATAATCTGACGGACGGATAATCTGTCGGAGTTGTGGAAGATGTACCATTTTGAATCTTGCGGGCTTTCTTAGATAATCCTGGTTGAACTTTTTCATGTTGTAAATCAGTCGGAACTTTTCCTTGGAGTTTTTCTTTGGGACCAGAAAAATCGGGGAGTAGAAACCTGGTGTGACGATTTGTATTTCTTCGATTGCCTTCTTGTTGAGTAGAGTAGTTTCTCCTTCTGATCAGTAGCATAGTTGTACATCTGAGGAGTGCTTGTTAAAGGTGGAACCACTTGCAGTTCTATCTTGTAACCTCTGTGTAGTATCTGGGATACATAATCGTCTTGTCGAATTCCCCAATTCTTCCAGTAAAGTTGAAGGCGTCCACCCACTGGTGAGGGTTGTATGGGAACGGCTGGGGGTGGATGACTCCAGTCGTTCCGACCCTGTCCATCAACGTCTAAAGTTCCTGGCACCTCTGAATCCTCTGCCTCTTCCGGGGTTACCTCTAGGAGCTCCGGTGGGGCAACGAAAAGAATCCTTATATCCCTTGGAAGTGCCGTATTTCTTGTCTCTAGCTCTCTGTATCCCTGCAAATTTAGATTTGCCAGAGTAGCGTTGTGATGTCTGTCTGATAACGGTGGCCAGTGTATCAATTGACTTGATCATCATCACTTCTCTGGACTCCTTCGTAACTTCTTTAGCCACGTCCTCAATTTCTCCTGCGAAGATATTCGTTGCTGCCCATGGAGCTCTGAACAGTGCTTTGGTAAACTTCTCACTCCATTTACAGGCTGATAGTAGACCTTGTCTTTGTAGCAGTGTTAATCCCCCCGATGTAGACGCTAGGTGTTCTGACATGAACTGTTGGTCTTTCTTTTGGGTTAATAAGGCTGAGCAGATCATCCGATCTTCTTCAGAAGAAGAGTTTGCAAACTACGCAATTAGGGTTTCGTTGA